TAAATATATGATTGCAGTTATATGAAATTTTAGAAAAGGTAAAGCTATAATGGCAGAAGACTAGCAATTGCCTAGGGCAAACAGTGGGTGAGAGGATTAACTGAAATCGGCAAGAGGGAACTTTTGTAAATGACAGACGTATTCTAAAACTGGATTTTGGTGAAGGTTGTGCAACTACAGTAATTCACTAAAACTCACTAAATTCTACATTTAGCAAAGATGAATTCAGTGGTATGTGAATTATCTCTCAATAAATCTTTTTTTTTTTTAAAGAAAGAAAGAAAAGAAAGCCTATCTGCAAGGCTTTGAAAATAAAATGTTGCTCCCAAAAAAGGTTAGAGAGAACAAAGACAGATTACAAACAAAATAATGACAAAGTGACATAGGGTTCTTGTCAACAATACATGCCAAAATATAATGGTTTTCCCTTACCTTACACAAGTATCAACTCAAGATGGATCAAAGACTTAAATCTAAGACCTAAAACCATAAAAATTCTAGAAGATTACAATAGAAAAACTTCTGGATATTGGCCTAGGCAAAAATTCATGACCAAGAATCCAAAAGCACATGCAACGAAAACAAAGATAGATAAGACCTAATTAAACTAAAAAGCTTCTGCACAGCAAAAGAAATAATCAACAGAGTAAACAGACAACCCACAGAGTGGGAGAAAATATTCCCAAACTATGCATCCACATTCAACAAAGGACTAATATCCAGAATCTGTAAGAAACTCAAAAAGTCAGCAAGAAAAAACAAATAATCCCATCAAAAGTGGGCTAAGAACATGAATAGACAATTCTCAAAAGAAGATATACAAATGGCCAACATAGGAAAAATGCTCAACATCCCTAATTATCAGAGAAATGCAAATCAAAACCACAATGCAATACCACTTTACTCCTTCAAGAATGGCCTAATTTAAAAATAAATAACAGATGTTGGCATGGATGTGGTGAAAAGGAAACAGTTTTATACTACTGATGAGAATGTAAACTACTACAACCACTACAGAAAACAGTATGGCGATTCCTTAAAGAACTGAAAATAGAACTACCATTCAATCAAGCAATCCCACTACTGGGTACCTACCCAGAGGAAAATAATTCATTACATGAAAAAGACACTTGCACACACATTTATAGCAGTACAATTCACAATTGCAAAAATATGGAAGCAGTCTAAATGCTCATCAATCAATGAGTGGATAAAGAAAATGTTATATGTACATTATATGTATGTACATAAATATATATATATATATATGTATAGACACACACCATGGAATACTACTACTCAGCTATAAAAAGGAATAAAATAACAGCATTCACAGCAATGTGGATGGAATTGGTGACCATTATTCTAAGTGAAGTAACTCAGGAATGGAAACCCAAACATCGAATGTTCTCACTCATATGTGGGAGCTAAGCCATAAGAATGCAAAGGCATAAGAATGATATAATGAACTCTAGGAACTCAAGAGGGAAGGGTGAGAGGTGGGTGAGGGATAAAAGACTACACATTGGGTATAGTGTGCACTGTTCGGATGATGGGTGCACCAAAATCTCAGAAATCACCACTTACGAATTTATCCATGTAACCAACCACCACCTGTTTCCCCCAAAACTGTTGAAATAATGATTTTTAAAAAGGTAATCATTAATATTTTTCAATATATCATTTCCCAGATGTACAGGAAAAAAACTGCTATTATTCTTTAATTCTGCAGCCAACTTAACCATTAATTCAAGAAAAAGGATGAAATTTAGACCTTTATAGACATAAAAATTTAGAGTTTACTACTCATTCTCATTGCAAGAAATACTGGCCAGGCACAGTGGCTCACACCTATAATCCCAGCACTCTGAGAGGTTGAGGTAGGAGATCACTTGAGCCCAGGAGTTTGAGACCAGCTTGGGCAACATGGCAAAAACCCGTCTCTACAAAAAATAACACAAAAAATTACCTGGGCATGGTGGCACATGCCTGTAGTCAGGCGACTGATGTGGAAGAAACATCTGAGCCCAGGGTGTCAAAGTCTGGAGTGAGCTATGATCATGCCACTGCACTCCAGCCTGGGTGAGCAAGAGGGTAAGATTCTGGAGAGACACAGAGAGACAGACAGACAGAGCGGGGGGGGGGGGGGGGGGGGGGGGGGGAAGGGGAGGGGGGGAAAGAGAGAGAGAGAGAAGCGAGACAGCGAGAGTGCTAGACGAGGGGAAAAGGGGCAGGGGAAGAGAGGGAGGGAAGAAAAGAAAGAAGGAAGGGAAGGCAGGGAAGAAAAAAGAGTGGGGAGGGGAAGAGGGGGAGGGAAGAGGCAGAGGAAAAGAAAAGAAAGAAGAGGCTGGGCGCGGTGGCTCAAGCCTGTAATCCCAGCACTTTGGGAGGCCGAGGCAGGTGGATCATGAGGTCAAGAGATCGAGACCATCCTGGTCAACATGGTGAAAACCCGTCTCTACTAAAAATACAAAAAATTAGCTGGGCATGGTGGCGCGTGCCTGTAATCCCAGCTACTCAGGAGGCTGAGGCAGGAGAATTGCCTGAACCCAGGAGGCAGAGGTTGCGGTGAGCCGAGATTGCACCATTGCACTCCAGCCTGGGTAACAAGAGCGAAACTCTGTCTCAAAAAAAAAAAAAAAAAAAAAAAGAAAGAAGAAAGAAGGAAGCAAAGAAGGAAGGAGGGAGGGAAGAGAAAGATGAGAGGAAAAGAGTGGGGAGGAAAAGAGTGGGGAGGAGAGGAGGTGGAAGGGAGGAGAGGAAGGAAAAAGGAAAAAAGAAAGAAGGAAGCAAAGAAGGAAGGAGGGAGGGGAGAGAAAGATGGAAAGAAAGGTAGGTGGAAAGAAAGAGCAAACTACTAAGAGATAATCTTCAGCAAAAAGACAATGAACCCAGAAATGAGGAGTGGAATCTAAAAGCAACTTTATAAAAAATTACAAAACATGTTAGTAAATCTAAGTGTTACCATTTGGAAAACGAGAGTATGGGTATTTAAGGACTTGGTGGAACTAAAATATTAAACAATAATCACATAGAAAATATAATGGAAAGCTCAGAGCTAAATGAAATCATTTTAAGGTCTTCGTGTGTTACTCAGAGTACAGAAAAAAAATGAATTTTCAGCTTTAAGAAATAAATTAAATATGTAGTTTTATATGTTAGGGTAACTATCAAAAGAATAAAAATATATTTCATAGCTTTTAAACCAATAAGAATAAAGGAAGAATAAATTCGACAAAAAGCAGACAAATAAAAAAATAAGCAAAAGCAACATGATAAATGTAAAATATATTAGAATTCCATGTGTATAAGAAATTCCACATATTAAAAATACCAATAAATACAAATGGGATTAAACAAGCTATTAAAGTACACAACTCTAAGTCCAAATTTTAGTAAGTCCCTCTATATCCCATTTATAAAAGGCACACGGGTGGATCATGAAGTCAAGAGATCGAGACCATCCTGGTCAACATGGTGAAACCTCGTCTCTACTAAAAATACAAAAAATTAGCTGGGCATGGTGGCACGTGCCTGTAATCCCAGCTACTCAGGAGGCTGAGGCAGGAGAATTGCCTGAACCCAGGAGGCGGAGGTTGTGGGGAGCTGAGATTGTGCCATTGCACTCCAGCCTGGGTAACAAGAGCGAAATTCCATCTCAAAAAAAAAAAAATGCTGAAACAGTATCTGCCCTACCCTCAAAGAAGGGAGGACTAAAAATAACAGGCACAGGAAGTTGTGTCAAGAAAGCTTATCTTTCCTGACCAGGACTCCAGGTAAGAAACAAACAAACAAAAATTCTTCTAAAAATTTGTCTACCCTCCATTGACTTGGATATTGATTATACTGCTTGTGTGATCTGAGAGTGCTTAAGTCAAGAAAGCAGGGGAAAACGAATAACATTCTAGTGGCACCTGGCAAAAGCAAATTCAAAACACCTCTAGAAGAGGCACATACGCTCAATCCAACTGCATAGGACTCCAACACACTCCTCTTTAGCCTTGCTAGCACTCAGTACCCACTGTCCTCCCTTCAAGATGACTATCTAGCCAATAAAGTCCCACATGCGGCAGTAGAACAGGGACCTGTGGCTGAGTCACCATAATGGAACATAAAACCCCACTTGTCCCACAAATGGTGTATACCCTAAGAATCATAACGAAACTAAAGCAAATACTAAGCAACTAACACCAAGCTGTGCAGAAACAAAGCAAAGAGGAACTGGTGACTTGTGTCTGCCTTGCTCCCTGAAACAGTGAGACAAGACCAGGCACTGTACATACTGCTGACCATTTCACCCCAATTCCTTTTCTATACAAGGAGAATCGTAATGCTAGAGAAGTCACCCCATCAACCTAAGCTGATGAAATGAAGGGGGAAAAAAAAACCTGCTAGAATCCCCCACTGGCTACCACGGCCATAACAAGAACTTCCAGAAATTCCACTCACTCAACCAATATCGAGTATTAACATTGATACCTTTACAACTCAGGATATTTAAAAGTGGAACACACAGCTGGGTGTGGTGGCTCATGCCTGTAATCCCAGCACTTTAGGAGGCTGAGGCAGGTAGATCATCTGAGGTCAGGAGCTCGAGACCAGCTTGGTCAACATGGCGAAACTCCATCTCTACTAAAAATGCAAAATTAGCTGGGTGTGGTGGCGCACGCCTGTAATCCTAGCTACTCAGGAGGCTGAGGCAGGAGAATCGCTTGAACCAGGAGGCGGAGGTTGCAGTGAGCTAAGATCATGCCATTGTACTCCAGCCTGGGCAACAAGAGCGAAACTCCATCTCAAAAAAGCAAAAAAAAAAAAATAAAATAAAAGTAGAACACACTTCATAGGGTTAAATTCAATCTCTTTCATCCTATACTTATACTCCTCATTCCAACAAGCCTTTGAGGCACCCTTAGAGACACACAGAACTCTAAAATTCTTAGGTTAAAGGTTGCCAGGAATCTAATGTGGATAACACATACTTGTTAGCTTATGGAACTTACATAATGACATTAACAAGAGTACTTCTAAAGTTTTCTCTTTCTTTATGTGGCGATTTGCCCTTTGATTTGGAAGTAGATGGTCCAGAATAACTATCATCAACTTGGTGGGGTAATTTGCCCTTTTTTCCAAAACGTTCCATGTATTCAGCTTAAATTAAAAAAAAACACACACACAATTATTCATCTAAAAGTTAAGCTAAAACATTTTACATGCTTAGAATAAGATGCTAAATCACTTTTCAAGAAAAAAAATACACTTTCAAGTAATCCTAGCTCTAATTTTCTTTTACTATCAGGAAGTTAAACTACTCCTCTTTTGTATCATAACTAGAAATGTCTATTTCAAGAACATTCCACTGATTTATATCTTGATTAATATGCTAATAAAATTTTCTATTATATATACATAGAATTCTCTAAAAGTGAAAATTAAAATTATTATAAAAACAGGATACAAAACTATTTGAGAAACTTTAAGGAACCATGACAAAAAAGTTAATATTAACTGTAATCAATCTGATAAACACTATATTTTAGTGTCACAATAATAGAAACTATTAGAGAATATATTAATAGAAACTATTAATATTTTCTAATAGAAAATATTAGTCAAAATAATAAACATTAAAATGACTAATTTGAAAGTTATGTCTACAATTTATTAAAATACGCAAAAAAGAAAAAGAAAAGAGGTTTATTAAAATACCTCCTAGAAAAATATTCTTAGTCTTTGATGTAGAGGCAAATTCTGACCACAATAGATAAAAGTTTTAGTATAAACATCCCAATTCCTAAAATATCAGCTCTTACAGCATTTACAACAGCCTAAAATAACTAAGAACTAGAATCAATTATTTTCTGAGGGAAGATGTTTCAGAAATTTTTTTCTACATGACATTAATGTCATTTAGGTTTTATAATTCTACTATATGATTAACTAAATATTGTCTGGTTTCTCTCTATATAGAAATTATCCCTAAGTCTGATTTATAATATTGAAGTTCTTACCATAGGACAGTTCATTTTTAACACTAAATGGTTCTGGAATCTCATCATCCTGCTTTACATTCAAATGGAATGATGGAGCTGCCTGCTGCCAGCAGGGCTTTGTCCTCACCTAAAACATAAAATTTAAATAGAATTAACAAACCATGTCAGAAAAAAAACTTTTTCCATGAAATCCATGAGTATTTATAAGTACAGGCATTTTCTCAAACTGATCAGAACATCTGGATAGAAAACACCCAATAGAAGATCTTATTTAAGCCTGTGAATGGTCATGGTGTGCACCATTTGGGGGTCATTAGCAAAAGCCCTGCTGCTGGTTGGATGTATGTGTCTGTTACCTAAAACCAGAATGTTTATTCTAGAGAGTCTACTCCTCATCCCCAGATATTGTTAAGTATCTTTAAACCTTCTATCTTAACAAAATGTGTTCTCTATCGGTCTCCAGTGCTAATGAGTTCCCTTTGCATTCCAGCTCCAAAAGGTCTTCCTGTTCTCATGGCTGTAAACAGCCCTAGATTGCTCTGGCAACTCACAAATGTATTCCACTGTTTAAGGCAGGGGTGACAAATTATAATACATACACAATTTTGGCAGGTGTCATAAAAATGGAGAAGGCTAATGATGATAGGTTCCTGGCACTCAAGCTCTGTGCTGGGAAATGACAGTGTGTGGTGGGGACTGTGGCAGAAGAGAGAACACCTTCATCTTCTAAAAAGGCAATGACTGATTAGCTCAAAGCAATTATTGCAATACCAGAACACAAATCTGCTGCCGAAGGCTGTGGTTCTTCAATAAACCCAGAAAGTCGGATTTTAAAGTAAAATATATATACTTTTAACCCAATTTAGTCTGTCTCTCCCTTTCTAATCCAAACCAACTTGGAAGTCCATATCTGTACTGGTTTCATCTGCCTAGTTTTACTCTCCCCAATCTCTTGCTTCTACTTCCCAAACGAGCTACCTGCACACAAGCCCTTATTTTAGTACCTCTTGTTAGGGACAAGCTGCCTCAGAAAACTCCCTCTGCAAAAGCTGACCCCCCACACCCTCTGATTCCCTTGCAGCTGCATTCCTGAACTCCTGTCTGGGTGCTACAATTAAGCAAAGCACGATTTAGCCATCTGGGCAGCCCAGGGGGAGACAAGGAAAACAAATGTTTGTTATCATACTTGCAAATTCCTGTTTTACACAAACCTGTAAAATCCTGTTTTTTTTTTTTTTTAAACTGCCACCACAAAAGTCACAGGATAGTGTGTTTTAAGTCTGTCTGTGCTTGTTACAAGCTGATAGATTATCTCAGTCCTGAAACTCTCTTATGCCCCTCTCATCCCAAATAAATCCCTCATTTTGTAAGCTCAGGGCTGCCTCCTCTGATTGTTATGTGGTAGCCCTGCCGGTTAATAAAACTTCTCGTCTGATTTTGGATCTATTCTTCTTTCTCTTGGCTAACCTTACATATTGGTGTCGAATCCCAGAAGGAGTAGGCTCTGGCCAGGCGTTCTTAAGGGACTCTCTCTTTCTCTCTCTCTCCCTCCCTCCATCTCCTGTCACATCTCTCCCGGCCAATCCTCCCCTTCCTGAATCTGCTGAAGACCCAGAGGATATCCCAGACTCTCCCATTGCTGGTGACCTCAAGGGAGACTCTTGCTATTTACCCAGAACCCTTGACCATCTCTGTCTTCCCAAAAGACCTAGCACTGGGCCAAGGGCTTCCTCCAGCCTCCAGGCCTCTGGTTCCTCCATTTCAGGGATGCCTCACTTGGCAGCTACCTCCTCTATTCTGGACAGGGCCCACAGGACAGGGGAGGCCTCTCCTCTCCTGCTATGCTAGTCAATTGGCAGTCTCTTCTTCCTCTGCCTCCCTCCTTCATCTGCTGTGGGAGCCTGTTAGTCTACCCCTTCGAAAACTAACCCCCTTGGGTGTCTTCCTGTGTAATGTCAATACTCGGCCTCCATTCAGAAGTACATCCTAAGAGGCTTATCTTTTACTGTAATACTGCTTGGCTTCAATACAAATTAGACAATGGCTCACAATGGCCCAAAAATAGCACTTTTGATTTCAATATACTTAGAGACTTAGACAACTTTTGCCATCACAGTGGGAAATGGTCTGAGATTCCTTATGTTCAGGCTTCCTTCACCTTCTGTAGCTGTCTTTCCCTCTTCCAGTCCTGTTCTACTTTCCAAATCCTCTGTGCTCACTCCAAACCTGACTCCTCCTGTCACTCTCCCTATGGCCCTGCAGAGCACTCATCTCTGCTACACTCCCCACAGCCCCAGCTGACGACTCCTCTTTCTTTGACCCCGCCAGTTTTTTCCTCCTCCTCAACCATGTCAGGATCCCCCACCAGAGCATCTGGATCCCTCACCAGAGTGTCTGGATCCCCCACCAGAGCATCTGGATCCCCCACCAAAGCATCTGGATCCTCTACCATATGCCCCACTCCAGCCCTACCCCTTCCCTGACAACCTCCTTCCTGTCTCCACCCCTTACACATTCCCAAGTCCAACATGTCCAGCAATCAGCTCCCTTGCTTCCCCTCCCGGAGGTAGCAGGGGTTGAAGGAATTGTCCATGTCCACAGCCCCTTCTCCCTCTCCAAGCTCTCCTAGATTGAAAAATGTGTTGGGTCCTTCTCCTCTGATCCCAATACTTATATCAAAGAATTTAAATATCTCACCCAATCTTAGGAATTCACCTGGCATGATCTCTATATTATCATCTCTTCTACCCTCCTTCTGGAAGAGAAGGAAAGAGTGTGGCTCACAGCCCAGGCACATGCTGACGATCTTCATCAGCAAGATCCTACTAAGCCTGTCGAAGCCACTGCTATCCCCCAGGAAGAGTCTTCCTGGGAGTACCAACTCACAGACCCCGCCCGGGCATCCTGTCACCATATGATTGCTTGTCTTATTGCAGGCCTTAACAAAGCCACCCATAAGGCTATAAATTTTGAAAAACTCCAAGAAATTTCCCAAAAAGCAGATGAAAATCCTGCCCAATTCCTTTCTCACCTTACAGAGGCTCTCCAAAAATATACTCATATTGACCCTGGCTCCCAAGAAGGAACTATTGTTCTTAATACCTATATTTTTTTTTTTAATTTTTTATTGGATTATAGGTTTTGGGGTACATGAGCAGAGCATGCAAGACAGTTGCGTAGGTACACACATGGCAGTGTGCTTTGCTTTTCTTCTCCCCTTCACCCACATTTGGCATTTCTCCCCAGGCTATCCCTCCCCACCTCCCCCTCCCACTGGCCCTCCCCTTTTCCCCCCAATAGACCCCAGTGTTTAGTACTCCCCTTTCTGTGTCCATGTGTTCTCATTTTTCATCACCCACCTATGAGTGAGAATATGCGGTGTTTCATTTTCTGTTCTTGTGTCAGTTTGCTGAGGATGATGTTTTCCAGATTCATCCATGTCCCTACAAACGACACAAACTCATCATTTCTGATTGCTGCATAATATTCCATGGTGTATATGTGCCACATTTTTCCAATCCAGTCTATTATCAACGGGCATTTGGGTTGATTCCAGGTCTTTGCTATTGTAAACAGTGCTGCAATGAACATTCGTGTACATGTGTCCTTATAGTAGAACGATTTATAGTCTTTTGGATATATACCCAGTAATGGGATTGCTGGGTCAAATGGAATTTCTATTTCTAAGGCCTTGAGGAATCGCCACACTGTCTTCCACAATGGTTGAACTAATTTACACTCCCACCAACAGTGTAAAAGTGTTCCTTTTTCTCCACATCCTCTCCAGCATCTGTTGTCTCCAGATTTTTTAATGATCGCCATTCTAACTGGCGTGAGATAGTATCTCAATGTGGTTTTGATTTGCATCTCTCTGATGACCAGTGATGATGAGCATTTTTTCATATGATTGTTGGCCTCATATATGTCTTCTTTCGTAAAGTATCTGTTCATATCCTTTGCCCACTTTTGAATGGGCTTGTTTGTTTTTTTCCTGTAAATCTGCTTGAGTTGTTTGTAAATTCTGGATATCAGCCCTTTGTCAGATGGGTAGACTGCGAAAATTTTTTCCCATTCTGTTGGTTGCCGATCCACTCTAGTGACTGTTTCTTTTGCCGTGCAGAAGCTGTGGAGTTTCATTAGGTCCCATTTGTCTATTTTGGCTTTTGTTGCCAATGCTCTTGGTGTTTTTTTCATGAAGTCCTTGCCTACTCCTCTGTCCTGGATGGTTTTGCCTAGATTTCCTTCTAGGGTTTTTATGGTGCCAGGTCTTATGTTTAAGTCTTTAATCCATCTGGAGTTAATTTTAGTGTAAGGTGTCAGGAAGGGGTCCAGTTTCTGCTTTCTGCACATGGCTAGCCAGTTTTCCCAACACCATTTGTTAAACATGGAATCCTTGCCCCATTGCTTGTTTTTGTCAGGTTTATCAAAGATTGTATAGTTGTATGTATGTTGTGTTGCCTCCGGTGCCTCTGTTTTGTTCCATTGGTCTATATCTCTGTTTTGGTACCAGTACCATGCTGTTTTGATTACTGTAGCCTTGTAGTATAGTTTGAAATCCGGTAGTGTGATGCCCCAGGCTGTGTTCTTTTTGCTTAGAATTGACTTGGCTATGCGGGCTCTCTTTTGGTTCCATATGAAGTTCATGGTGGTTTTTTCCAGTTCTGTGAAGAAAGTCAATGGTAGCTTGATGGGGATAGCGTTGATTCTGTAAATTACTTTGGGCAGTATAGCCATTTTCACGATATTAATTCTTCCTAACCATGAACATGGAATGTTTCTCCATCTGTTTGTGTCCTCTCTGATTTCGTTGAGCAGTGGTTTGTAGTTCTCCTTGAAGAGGTCCCTTACGTTCCTTGTGAGTTGTATTCCAAGGTATTTTATTCTTTTTGTAGCAATTGCGAATGGCAGTTCGCTCTTGATTTGGCTTTCTTTAAGTCTGTTATTGGTGTAGACGAATGCTTGTGATTTTTGCACATTGATTTTATATCCTGAGACTTTGCTGAAGTTGTTTATCAGTTTCAGGAGTTTTTGGGCTGAGGCGATGGGGTCTTCTAGGTATACTATCATGTCGTCTGCAAATAGAGACAATTTGGCTTCCACCTTTCCTATTTGAATACCCTTTATTTC